ACACAAAGTGTTCATTATTATTTATAAAAGACACAATGTTCATTATTGTTTCATCCTCTGTCAATGAACTTATTTGAATTTTTGTTATTAATCTTAAACATTACACAGTGAAATGTTCGGATCATATTATAGTTAGTAATTATTTTTTCAGAAAGAGGTTTTATTGATGACACGAAGTTTAATTATTCAATCATTAATGTCATACCGCTGTTTTACCTTGTCCATTATAGTGTTCTTATGTTCTTATGGCATACCAAAAATCACAATCACGTTTATCACCTTTTGGCTTGTCAGCCCAGAATACGGTGGATTTTGATGATACTTGTAAGAGAAGATCCTCATCGACACACGTGTTTCTGAGAGAGCAGCTATATCAATGTTCAGGCGCTGAAATTCTTTGGTAACAAGTGTTATTCTAGATTATAGTCAGTTTGTCCTTCAATAATCTAGAAGAGTTCTAAAATTCCAACAAGCAATGTTGAGTCGAAGTTTTTTATTTCAGAAAATTTCTCGTTTTGTTCCTGCATTAAATGCACCGTGGTTCGCCCTTTCTCCGGCGAAGACGTAAATACGTTTGTACCGAAAGTGACTTTTTTCAGACACAGACGAATAAAAACGTCCAAGAAATAACGTTCAAAAATCAGCTGCGGGCGTGTTTATACGTCGATCTTGATTCTTCTGAGCTTGAAATGAGTCCTATTGTTAACTAATACGTTTAGTAGAGGTGTTAGCCACCACTCGGGTACTTCAATGTCTCTCAAATTCTTCGTCTGTAAATGAAACGTTTTTCCCAAAGGAACTGGCGGGGAAGGGGTTATACTGCAGTAGATTAATCAACCATGTTTGGACAGGATATTTTTTATGCATCTTTTCTACCACCGTTCCAAGAATCTGAGTGAGAAATGCTCTCCGTAAATAGAGGCTGCTCAGGTGCAGGAATCTCTACCCAAATAAATCTCTGTCTCTAAAGACATGATAACGTCGTTAAGATAAATACTTCACCGCCAATATGTAGATTCATTGCTTCAATTGTTTAATCGAAATCACCCCAAGCAAGTCAGTAAAGCCTCTGGAACACGTGATACTTGGGCGTGGAATAATTACAAAACAGAAACACTGCTAAGGAACAAGAAGAATAATCAAGAGGAAAGTAGATAGCAATTGACATTGCATTTAAATTTTTTGTAGATTGAAGTACCTGGAAAGTATGGAACCAGAAGAGAGTTCCACAAGGGAAAAGTTCGAGAAAATAAATTGCTAGCATAGAACTTACAGTTACAATGAGCCAACTCAGATGAAAATTTAGAATTCGTCGCCAGTCTAGAGATGAGCTTAAATTTAAAGCGTTTAGGTACCATAGAGAAAATCACATCCGAATAATTACCATGAAAGTATTTATAGAAAAGGCAGAGAGAAGCTACATTACGGTGATGGGAAAGTGACTGAAGCCGAGAGGCCAAGTCAAGACTGTACCAAAGAGGAAAGCTCATCAGAACAATTACCATGAAAGTATTTATAGAAAAGGCAGAGAGAAGCTACATTACGGCGATGCGAATGTGACTGAAGCCGAGATGCCAGGTCAAGACTCTACCAAAGAGGAAATCTCATCAGAATAATTACCATGAAAGTATTTATAGAAAAGGCAGAGAGAAGCTACATTACGGTGATGGGAAAGTGACTGAAGCTGAAATGTCAGGTCAAGACTGTACCAAAGAGGAAAGCTCCTCAGAACAATTACCATGAAAGTATTTATAGAAAAGGAAGAGAGAAGCTACATTACGGTGATGGGAATGTGACTGAAGCCGAGATGCCAGGTCAAGACTGTACCAAAGAGGAAATCTCATCAGAACAATTACCATGAAAGTATTTATAGAAAAGGCAGAGAGAAGCTACATTACGGTGATGGGAAAGTGACTGAAGCCGAGATGCCAGGTCAAGACTGTACCAAAGAGCAAAGCTCATCAGAACAATTAACATGAAAGTATTTATAGAAAAGGCAGAGAGAAGCTACATTACGGTGCTGGGAAAGTGACTGAAACCGTGATGGCAGGTGAAGACTCTACCAAAGAGGAAATCTCATCAGAACAATTAACATGAAAGTATTTATAGAAAAGGCAGAGAGAAGCTACATTACAGTGATGGGAAAGTGACTGAAGCTGAGATGTCAGGTCAAGACTGTACCAAAGAGGAAAGCTCCTCAGAACAATTACCATGAAAGTATTTATAGAAAAGGCAGAGAGAAGCTACATTACGGTGATGGGAATGTGACTGAAGCCGAGATGCCAGGTCAAGACTGTACCAAAGAGGAAAGCTCATCAGAACAATTACCATGAAAGTATTTTTTTTAAAAAAGACACAGTGAAGCAACTTTATGGTTGTGGGAAACGTTTTATCAATTATTTTCACTCTGTTATCTTTCAAGCTGTTGCGTCTTAGCGGCCTTATAGCTTTGTTTGGGGTGAAAGAATTAGAATGAACAATGTATATATTGTGACAATTTGTACTGATTTTTAAAGCGTACTTACAATTTTTCTTTTATGAGTCTTAAGCCTCTGCACAAGTTTCTCCCTCATGAACGAAAAATTGTAAGAACGCTAGAAAAACTGACTATAAACTCCCCAAATATTTTTTGTCCGCCATATTCAATGAAACACACACACACATACACACACACAGCTATATAAATATATACATATATATATATATGTATGTGTGGACTAGATAGATAGATACATTTCTCTCTCTCTCTCTCTCTCTCTCTCTCTCTCTCTCTCTCTCTCTCTGTGTGTGTGTGTGTATGTGTGTGTGTGTGTTTGTGTGTGTAGTACCGAAAATTTTTCTATCTTGGTGTAATAACTTCTTATCGAACAAAGAGATTCTCAGTAGACACACACATAAACACATAGCCGTCTCACCGCACACGCTACCACGCACTACACACACACACACACACACACACACACACATATATATATATATATATATATATATATATATATATATATATATATATATATATATATATATATTAATACACACACATGTAAATGTGTGAGGGCATTAATAATTTTAGTACTAATCGACATTAATTTGTGAGAAAAAAAAAAGACAGTATTAAAAGTAACTGCACAAATAACCTTTTTTTGACTATATATAGAATTGAGTTTCAAATAATTTGGTTAGAATAAAAGAGATTGTTGGAATATGGCTGGAATAAAATATATATATAAAAACATATATGTGTAGGGTGGGGGAACGATATTTAAATTTATATATCAAAACATTTTGAGAAAAATCTATAACAAAGTGGAAATTATTTTTTGTGTAACGCGTTTCGTCCTTTAGGACTTCATCAGTCTAAAGTGATGTTTACGTTGGTGTGATTACGCATGTGCATGAGGGAGAAGGGACGCTGAAATTTCAAAGAATATCAGGATGTAAACAAAGGAATTCTAACTCCCACACAGACAACATACTGGTTCTTGAAAATGACTAAGAAGGTCGAAGGTACTTGAACAAAACACTGATAAAATATAAACATTGGACAGAAAGTAATACTCAGTTCCATATCCGAAAATTAAAAAATATAATAAAAAAATGAAAAGGCAGATATTATTGTTTATTTTTAGTCAAAATATGTTTACAAATATATACACAAACGCTCACACATACACAGATATATATATATATATATATATATATATATATATATATATATATATATATATATATATATATAATCATGAGACCAGGTTTGAATTTCACCACGGTTAGTTGTCAAGAAGGAGACTTCCTGACGCTCTCCGTCTGGATGCGGACGATTCCAACGTGCGGCACTTTTGGAACGTGTCTGAAAACCATACCACGGTTGACTCAAGCCTCATGAGTGAAACTGGATAGTCGGAACATTTGTGGGCCGTCGATAGCAGTGCTAGCACGAAGTTACAAGTCATCGTAACCGAGAGTATGAATGTGCTAGCGTTGTTCAAATTGTTGATCATGCTAGATAACACGCTCTCTACCAGAAACTGTAACTAAGGTCTGCTCAGCAATTTGCAATATAAACCACGGGTTGGCTCTGTGGGTGCTGAACAAGCACAAATATGCCTGAGCGAGCGTCTGCAATAGAAATTGGCTAGCCGCTCTAATAGACTCGTATCCTCGAATACGAGTGGCCAGCTATTATATATATATATATATATATATATATATATATATATATATATATATGTATTGCGTATATTTTGGTAGCATATTTTCATGGGACATTTACATTTATATGCAATGTTAGTTTTCTGCAATTTTTCTCTTAGAAAAATAACACCCCGATGATGATATTGTGCTAATGTCGAAAATACTCGGAATAAATGAATATGTATCAGTATGGTAATTTTCATTCTGCCTTTATTAAGAATACTAAGAAGCTTGTCCGTGAATACGAGAGGATCCTATTGAAAATAAATAGACAAAACTTGTCTAACCTATTCAATAAGACATGTCTTTATATATATATATATATATATGTGTGTGTGTGTGTAAATAAATTTTTCATATCTGTGTATTTATATGAAGAAAAATGGAAGGCAAGATAACATCAGTTAATCAAATTACATGTGTTTTCCTGGAGAAAGCTTGTAAGTAAATATATGTATATCAGCAAGTATGTGCTTTGAACATCGCTTTAATTGTATACAGGAGGATATGTGAATATATTTATTCTTCAACAGCAATACGTTACAATATTACTGTCAGTGTATTCATATAAATGAATTTCTCTCTTTTGGAAGACTAGGAAATGTCCGTGATCTTGTATTTGAGAATATGTCAACCACTAGTTATAATTTTGTGTGAGTATTTTTTTTTTTTTTTTTTTTGTGCGTGTGTGTGATAATTTATTGATAGTAAAAGATATGGAAAGCACAAAAATACAGATCGGTCATGTTTGATTGAGCGTAAACACTCATCAACACTCAACTATAGGTATAATGAAAAAATACTTTTCACAAAAAAAAGGAAAATCCTTGTAAAGGAATGTGTTTTATAAAGAAGGAAGACACTGAATCCAATAAAGGCATATAATAAAAAAAATATGACAAATCGGTTATTGCAGATAAGGATTTAAATAGAAAAGGACATAGATAGATAGATAGATAGATAGATAGATAGATAGATAGATAGACAGACAGATAGATAGATAGATACGAACAGACTGTGATAGATAGATAGATAGATAGATAGATAGATAGATAGATAGATAGATATGAATAGACTGAGATTAGATAGATAGATAGATAGATACGAATAGACTGTGATAGATAGATAGATAGATAGATAGATAGATAGATAGATAGATAGATAGATACGAACAGAATGGGATAGATATGAACAGACAGATATGAACAGAATGACATAGATAGATAGATAGATAGATAGATAGATAGATAGAAACAAGACTGATATATCTCTCTATATTTCTGAGATGAGGTATTATGTACATTATTTACATTATTCGGACTATTGTCCTCATCTTTGTCGCCATATTTATTACAACGTTTCGGCCCTTCAGTATCTGTCTATATTTCTGAGATGAGGTATTATGTACATTATTTACATTATTCGGACTATTGTCCTCATCTTTGTCGCCATATTTATTACAACGTTTCGGCCTTTCAGTATCTGTCTATATTTCTGAGATGAGGTATTATGTACATTATTTACATTATTCGTACTATTGTCCTCATCTTTGTTGCCATATTTATTACAACGTTTCGGCCTTTCAGTATCTGTCTATATTTCTGAGATGAGGTATTATGTACACTATTTACATTATTCCGACTATTGTCCTCATCTTTGTCGCCATATTTATTACAACGTTTCGGCCCATCAGTATCTGTCTATATTTCTGAGATGAGGTATTATGTACATTATTTACATTATTTGGACTATTGTCCTCATCTTTGTCGCCATATTTATTACAACGTTTCGGCCCTTCAGTATCTGTCTATATTTCTGAGATGAGGTATTATGTACATTATTTACATTATTTGGACTATTGTCCTCATCATTGTCGCCATATTTATTACAACGTTTCGGCCCTTCAGTATCTGTTTATATTTCTGAGATGAGGTATTATGTACATTATTTACATTATTCGTACTATTGTCCTCATCTTTGTTGCCATATTTATTACAACGTTTCGGCCCTTCAGTATCAGTCTATATTTCTGAGATGAGGTATTATGTACACTATTTACATTATTCCGACTATTGTCCTCATCTTTGTCGCCATATTTATTACAACGTTTCGGCCCATCAGTATCTGTCTATATTTCTGAGATGAGGTATTATGTACATTATTTACATTATTTGGACTATTGTCCTCATCTTTGTCGCCATATTTATTACAACGTTTCGGCCCTTCAGTATCTGTCTATATTTCTGAGATGAGGTATTATGTACATTATTTACATTATTTGGACTATTGTCCTCATCTTTGTCGCCATATTTATTACAACGTTTCGGCCCTTCAGTATCTGTCTATATTTCTGAGATGAGGTATTATGTACATTATTTACATTATTTGGACTATTCTCCTCATCTTTGTCGCCATATTTATTACAACGTTTCGGCCCTTCAGTATCTGTCTATATTTCTGAGATGAGGTATTATGTATTATTATTTACATTATTCGGACTATTGTCCTCATCTTTGTTGCCATATTTATTACAACGTTTCGGCCTTTCAGTATCTGTCTATATTTCTGAGATGAGGTATTATGTACATTATTTACATTATTCCGACTATTGTCCGCATCTTTGTTGCCATATTTATTACAACGTTTCGGCCTTTCAGTATCTGTCTATATTTCTGAGATGAGGTATTATGTACACTATTTACATTATTCCGACTATTGTCCTCATCTTTGTCGCCATATTTATTACAACGTTTCGGCCCATCAGTATCTGTCTATATTTCTGAGATGAGGTATTATGTACATTATTTACATTATTTGGACTATTGTCCTCATCTTTGTCGCCATATTTATTACAACGTTTCGGCCTTTCAGTATCTGTCTATATTTCTGAGATGAGGTATTATGTACACTATTTACATTATTCCGACTATTGTCCTCATCTTTGTCGCCATATTTATTACAACGTTTCGGCCCATCAGTATCTGTCTATATTTCTGAGATGAGGTATTATGTACATTATTTACATTATTTGGACTATTGTCCTCATCTTTGTCGCCATATTTATTACAACGTTTCGGCCCTTCAGTAACTGTCTATATTTCTGAGATGAGGTATTATGTACATTATTTACATTATTTGGACTATTCTCCTCATCTTTGTCGCCATATTTATTACAACGTTTCGGCCCTTCAGTATCTGTCTATATTTCTGAGATGAGGTATTATGTACATTATTTACATTATTCGGACTATTGTCCTCATCTTTGTCGCCATATTTATTACAACGTTTCGGCCCTTCAGTATCTGTCTATATTTCTGAGATGAGGTATTATGTACATTATTTACATTATTCGGACTATTGTCCTCATCTTTGTCGCCATATTTATTACAACGTTTCGGCCTTTCAGTATCTGTCTATATTTCTGAGATGATATTTATTATGTACATTATTTACATTATTCGTACTATTGTCCTCATCTTTGTTGCAATATTTATTACAACGTTTCGGCCTTTCAGTATCTGTCTATATTTCTGAGATGAGGTATTATGTACATTATTTACATTATTTGGACTATTGTCCTCATCTTTGTCGCCATATTTATTACAACGTTTCGGCCCTTCAGTATCTGTTTATATTTCTGAGATGAGGTATTATGTACATTATTTACATTATTTGGACTATTGTCCTCTTTCTTTATTCAAACGTTTCGCCCTTGGACTATTGTCATCTTTGTCGCCATATTTATTACAACGTTTCGGCCCTTCAGTATCTGTTTATATTTCTGAGATGAGGTATTATGTACATTATTTATATTATTCGTACTATTGTCCTCATCTTTGTTGCCATATTTATTACAACGTTTCGGCCCTTCAGTATCTGTCTATATTTCTGAGATGAGGTATTATGTACACTATTTACATTATTCCAACTATTGTCCTCATCTTTGTCGCCATATTTATTACAACGTTTCGGCCCATCAGTATCTGTCTATATTTCTGAGATGAGGTATTATGTACATTATTTACATTATTTGGACTATTGTCCTCATCTTTGTCGCCATATTTATTACAACGTTTCGGCCCTTCAGTATCTGTCTATATTTCTGAGATGAGGTATTATGTACATTATTTACATTATTTGGACTATTGTCCTCATCTTTGTCGCCATATTTATTACAACGTTTCGGCCCTTCAGTATCTGTCTATATTTCTGAGATGAGGTATTATGTACATTATTTTACATTATTTGGACTATTGTCCTCATCTTTGTCGCCATATTTATTACAACGTTTCGGCCCTTCAGTATCTGTCTATATTTCTGAGATGAGGTATTATGTACATTATTTACATTATTTGGACTATTCTCCTCATCTTTGTCGCCATATTTATTACAACGTTTCGGCCCTTCAGTATCTGTCTATATTTCTGAGATGAGGTATTATGTACATTATTTACATTATTTGGACTATTCTCCTCATCTTTGTCGCCATATTTATTACAACGTTTCGGCCCTTCAGTATCTGTCTATATTTCTGAGATGAGGTATTATGTACATTATTTACATTATTCGGACTATTGTCCTCATCTTTGTTGCCATATTTATTACAACGTTTCGGCCTTTCAGTATCTGTCTATATTTCTGAGATGAGGTATTATGTACATTATTTACATTATTCCGACTATTGTCCTCATCTTTGTTGCCATATTTATTACAACGTTTCGGCCTTTCAGTATCTGTCTATATTTCTGAGATGAGGTATTATGTACACTATTTACATTATTCCGACTATTGTCCTCATCTTTGTCGCCATATTTATTACAACGTTTCGGCCCATCAGTATCTGTCTATATTTCTGAGATGAGGTATTATGTACATTATTTACATTATTTGGACTATTGTCCTCATCTTTGTCGCCATATTTATTACAACGTTTCGGCCTTTCAGTATCTGTCTATATTTCTGAGATGAGGTATTATGTACACTATTTACATTATTCCGACTATTGTCCTCATCTTTGTCGCCATATTTATTACAACGTTTCGGCCCATCAGTATCTGTCTATATTTCTGAGATGAGGTATTATGTACATTATTTACATTATTTGGACTATTCTCCTCATCTTTGTCGCCATATTTATTACAACGTTTCGGCCCTTCAGTATCTGTCTATATTTCTGAGATGAGGTATTATGTACATTATTTACATTATTTGGACTATTCTCCTCATCTTTGTCGCCATATTTATTACAACGTTTCGGCCCTTCAGTATCTGTCTATATTTCTGAGATGAGGTATTATGTACATTATTTACATTATTTGGACTATTGTCCTCATCTTTGTCGCCATATTTATTACAACGTTTCGGCCCTTCAGTATCTGTCTATATTTCTGAGATGAGGTATTATGTACATTATTTACATTATTTGGACTATTGTCCTCATCTTTGTCGCCATATTTATTACAACGTTTCGGCCCATCAGTATCTGTCTATATTTCTGAGATGAGGTATTATGTACATTATTTACATTATTCGGACTATTGTCCTCATCTTTGTTGCCATATTTATTACAACGTTTCGGCCTTTCAGTATCTGTCTATATTTCTGAGATGAGGTATTATGTACATTATTTACATTATTCGGACTATTGTCCTCATCTTTGTTGCCATATTTATTACAACGTTTCGGCTATTTTCAGTATCTGTCTATATTTCTGAGATGAGGTATTATGTACATTATTTACATTATTCCGACTATTGTCCTCATCTTTGTTGCCATATTTATTACAACGTTTCGGCCTTTCAGTATCTGTCTATATTTCTGAGATGCGGTATTATGTACATTATTTACATTATTTCTGAGGACTATTGTCCTCATCTTTGTTGCCATATTTATTACAACGTTTCGGCCTTTCAGTATCTGTCTATATTTCTGAGATGAGGTATTATGTACATTATTTACATTATTTGGACTATTCTCCTCATCTTTGTTATTTATTATTCCGACTATTGTCCTCATCTTTGGTCGCCATATTTATTACAACATTTCGGTCTATATTTGAGATGAGGTATTTGTACGCTCCGGCCTTCTTCAAGGCCCATGGTTGGTATTATGTCGAACTGAACCCATATTTATACACATGGCACAGTGGATAAAGACGTTGGTTAGATCCAGTGACAGGATCCAAAGAACGTGTGAGTTCAATACCAGGTTAAGGCAGTGGAGAACTGATAACTGACATCCATTAAACATGGTATTATGT